GGCAACGCAGTGACGAGCAGCGTGACGAGCAGCATTCCTTCATTATCTGGACCGCCTTCGCGCGAAACTGAGATAGATGAGGATACAGAGGACATTATACAACAGGGAAGGGCAACGCAGACCCTTTTCCCTAACCTTAACCCTGACCCAACTTCCCCGATTACATGCTTTTATCCAACATGTTAACTTAGAATAGAAAAACCCTGCCAAGGCTTGTCCTGCACGATCTCCCCCACCTCCACACCGCCGGCTGCGGCAACGAGCCCCTCTTCCGCCCGCGCCGCCCGTGGCCTCTCGCAAGATTGCCGCGCCGACGACGATGCTGAAGGCGTTCTCCGCCCCAGCCCCAGGCACGACATGAACGGCAAGCGAAACTGAGAAGGCCGTCACAACGGCAGCGAGAGGGAACGAAAACAAGTATGTATGTTGGGGTCGTTTTAGGTGTTTTTTATTGCTTACGTTTTTGTTTTGCGTGTGATTGATTTTTCAGGTTTGGGGAGTACACACGGGCAAGGCATTAAACAGGCAGTGGCAAAAAGCCCAATCGATGACAGCAAAGGAGGCGGGCGGGGGGAGGGGGGAGGGGGGCACAGAACACCACATGTCGAAACACTAGCAAAATGACTCGATGAATATGCTCGTAGCTCGCACTGTAGGGGGGCGGGGACACTGAACACTAAAAAGTGGACCTTTACAACCAAGGCCAAATGAGGCATGGCTGTCACAAGGGAATGAAAGGCCTCAAACCGGCCCTCTAGCCCTTCTTCGGGAGGGCGAAGAACGTTGCAGCAGGGGAAACGAGTGCCCACAAGACCTACGATCAGAAACAACAGTGTCACATCGAGAGGGAACTCGGCAGGTACGCCATGCGCATGGCATGGGCCCCCTTCGCCTTCGCCTTTTTTTATTTTTTAGTTGATCACATGGACCGTACGTGACGCAAGATAGCACACCCCCTGCATTTGATATTAATGAAGCTCGATTGAACGGGATGAGTGGCATCGCCGAAAACGGCGGCGTTGAAGCCGTCTCATCCAGAGCTTTCCGATAGCGTATCGTTTCATTCCTACACTTTCATGGTCGCGGATTAATCGAGATTTGAAAATCGGTCACGGGGATGTACTATCCTACGTCATGGCACCTACGGTAAACCAGCGCTCACATCATTTCTGCCGGGTAGAGGCCCAATCCGTGGCCACACAACAGTCTCGTTTGGCCGATCCAAGATTACGGAGATCCCAGGATACGACCTACAGCACACCCACACAGCAGCAGTTTGCCTACATGGCACCTACCCAGAACATACATGTGTAGCACAGGCGCGCGCTCAACTGTGGTCTTCGACAGCAACGGCAGCAACGGCAGCAACATGCTTCATCCCTTTCCGCCTACTACCCCCCCACCTCGTGAAGCCACATGGGGTGCGCCAGAATAAAACACTGTTACCTATAGCAACACAAGCTGGCAGCGCCTCTTGTCCTACTCCACACAGCACCACCGATTCATCGTAAAAAGTACCATATGCCACAACACATACGTAGAACACACACACACACCGCGTTACCCCTAGGAAGTGCTTCTGATCCCGCTACAAGACTGGCGTCTTTTAATTGGCCAGAGCGCGGTCGATGCAAATTAAGAATCCCCCCACACACATCACCTATCACGCTCACCTTCGGATGCCGTACGCGGCGCCCCTTCCCTTCGCCCCCCAGCCCCACTCCGAAAAAAGACCCTCCAAGGCTAAACCCAGAGGAACCACTCCGCAAGCTGTCGGAGCGCCCACCCACCCCATTAACGTCAACGCCGGAAATCCCTTTCGAGCAAAACGGCTGCAGCGGGTGGCCTTGTCGGTCTCGCCTCCTGTCGGATACGCCGGTGGCCGTCAAAACCTGTCCGCGGACGTTTCAATTTTTGGAGAGAGCGGACGGGCGGTTTGATACGTGAGACGAGGGGATCGGTGGACTTCCGTTCGCCACACCGGGGCACTGCTCCTTCTTCTCTGCCCTTGGGGTAAAGCTCCTGGCGACGTCTGAACGCGCAAGCTCCCTGACCACGTGGAGGGGTGGAGGAGGAGCCCTACGATGCTACGACGAGAAGCGATGGTATAGACAAAGGCCATCGCGCGTCGAATCATCAAAATCTACCAGTTCAGTAGCGGCAGTGGCGGCAAAGAGACAGCCTCGACAGAGCGCAAGCCAACAAACGTTGTCTTCCCCGACTCCCCGCCCCGTGCCGCGTTGGCAACAACACCGGCGCCAGCAACACACGCAGGATACGCACCGGACTGTCTACGCAAAGAAAGTAAGTTCACTATGCATTACGAGAGGCTAGGTAGGTGGGCACCCAGACCCTCATCCTGACCCCAACTTTTCGGATTCTTTACTTTTTCCAAAAGGCTTGCTTACTTAGACAAAACCCGCGTAGACTGCGGTACGCACCTCGCCATCTTCCGACGTCGCCGACTGCTGCGGCTGCAACGCACCCTCCAAGGACGGGAGTATCTTATGCCACAAGAAGAAGTGGTGTCCGCGGTGCACCGACCACGACGTCGGGAACCGGTCGGAGAGCGAACGGTTCACCTCCACCTGAAAGGTTACGGTCCGGACGAAACGGCAAGGTTAAAGTTCGGACGGAAGGGCAAGGAAACGGTTCGGACGGAACGACAAGGTGACGGTTCGGACAGAATGACAAGGTTACGGTTCGGACGAGACGGCAACGTTACGGTACGGACGGAACGGCGGCGGCGTCCACGACACCTTTCTAAGTTGCTCTCCCTCGAATTCCACACAGAATCTCTACAAACGCCTAGAAAACCCAAGCTCGCGTGCCGTAAAACGTCTACCCAACGAGATCGGAGTGTCATAGCTGCCTCCTGGTCCATGCTTCACATTTCGTCGGAGCAACACAACAGCAGCAACAGCCACAGCAGCAGCAGCAGCAGCAGCAACAGCGACAGCAACACACAAACCTGTCTGTAAGGGAAGGGCAGGCTGCTCCACATCTTCCTGAGGTCGAGGTACGTCAGGGCGTGCGAGCCCTTTCGCATCCCGGTCAAAAACCGCGACAGCTGTGGGTGTATGTCCGACGAAACGTCGGTCTCCAACAGCACCAGGTCCGCCTGTTGGTAAGGGGGCGCCGTCGTAAGAACGGTAACGCCCGCGCCCGGTGCACACGTACGAATTGGTCCACAAAGGAGAGTATGTGCGAGAGGGACGAGCATTAAAAAAAAATGCGGACGTAACAAGACACCCAACACAAAGACCACAAGATGGAGAGACAGATGGAGGGAAAGAGATATGAGACCGACAAACACTCACAGATAAAGAGAGAGAGAGGGAGAGGGAGAGAGAGAGAGAGGGAGAGGGAGAGAGAGAGAGACAGAGGAATCGACAGAAGCTAGGTCAGAAACAAGACACTCCGCCGCATAGGCCAGCACAGAACCAGACACCAAAACCTTCCAGCCACAAACAGGAGCGGTCGCGATACATCATTGCATTCCCGAATAGCGCGTTTCTCGAAAGATCGCGGTGAAAATTATTTTGACAGAACAACAAAATCACATACAATAGTTAGGACCTTTCCCCAATGACACGGGTCCCGATAAAACGCGGACGGCGACTTGTTGTCTGTCACTACATCACTACACCGCGAAATGTCGGCACCACCACATGTACTGCTGTAGGCAAACCAACCTTCCCAAAACAACACCCCAAATGAACCTCATTTCATTTCCGAGTCTCTCACCTGCGCAAGGTGGGTCACGTCGAACAAATTTCCGCACGCAAACTCCAACGTTCTCCCCGGAGGGCCCCGGCACAAGTGCTCCCACCCCGCCCCCCCTTCCCGCCAACCGTCGCCCTCAGCAAGAGAGAGCTGCTGCTGCTTGTGGTCTTGGTCGAGCGTCTCGATCGAAATAAACTGTCCCGGGATGTGCTTCTTTATCGCGTACGCTCCGGGCTGCAACTCCATCAGCGCAAACAGGGCCTGCGGGCGGTAGGTAGCACGCCGGCCAGTGGAGTGCGGCACAAACGGAGCGGGCTCGAGTCGACCAATCACAGCCGCCTCGAAGGTGGCCGGGGCACTTCATAAAAACACCCGCCTATGCTGAACCCAGGGGATGGATGCAAATTGCCCACCATCATCATCCCAGGAATGTAGGCTCGCGTCGCCTCTCGAGGATTTGACCGGAAAACGAACTTCTCGTCTGTAACCGTTTCCGTCTTCTATCGGGACAACAGCCTAGCCTCCGTCTGTGCCCCCCCCCCCCTCACGGGCCCCCAGAGATCTTGATAGCCCGAGGGAAGCGGTATCTTCTGTTAGGCGCACTGAGACTGACGTATGTTTCATTGGCCAGTCGATCGGCGCGGGCGATCCCAACAACGAACACACCCTCGCCGGATCCCAGATCATGGCCTTAAGGAACATCAGCAGCACTGAGACTGGACGTATTGGCACTGGTCAGCTGATTGAGGCGGTCGGCAAGGAGACCAAAAAAAAAAAAAAACTCACCGCCTCCCCGAGCTCGAAGCGGGCTTGGGAAAGCTCGATCCCGTACACCCGTGTCAAGTTGGGGAACTGCAAGAACACCTGCATCGCCACCTTGCCGGTGCCCATGCCCAGGTCGTAGATGGTGCTGGCCTTCGCGGCGTTGAGATGTCTCGGGCCCATGGCCTTGTTAACACCCCTGGGGAGAAGCTCGCCGTACAGCAGAGATCCCTGCAGAGTGTCGACCATCGCATCATCGCGGTGAGACAAAAGCAGCCGAAGACACAAGTGTCATCATATCGTAACACTATTCTATCAGAATCTATCCCGGACTCTTATCTGTGGAAGGCATAAAGAACACTCCTACTTCTTTTTTTATTGCAAGAAAATAAAAACACTCGAGCGGAAGAACAACGAGGGCGGGCGACACGTGGCTCGGTATGTCCTGCTAGAGCGCATTTCCTGCTAATAGAGCGTCCATTCGTGTAAACCATGTCGCCCACCAGTAGCCTTCGCAGTGTTTTTCTATTAAGCAAACATGTTGAAAAAAGCTTTCAATCGGGGAAGATGGGTTAGGGTTAGGGATAGGGTCTGCGTAACCCTTGCCATCTCCATTTCCTCACTGACTTAGTTACTCGGGAAGGCGGTCCATATAGGCTTTGTTGGGGGGGGGGGGGGGGGGGG